AATTTTTATTCTAATTAACTTTGCCCACTGGACTGCGTCTCTTACCCAGAGAAGCTGAGTCGTGGCATTCTTAAATTCTATCTATAGCACATAGTTCTAGTCAGGGTTGACTCGATGGTGTGAAATTGATTGGGGTTTTTGATACACTTTATTGGGTCATAAAGAGACTTCGCAAGCTATTTTAGAAACCATTTTATTTGTAGGGTACATTTCCAAGTTTTCTCCATGTACGCAAGGTAGAGAAATTGAGGCTTGGGGAACATTCTTCCTGCCAGCCTTAATCACGATGAATGCACCAAGGAAAAGCCATGGTTTTACAGCAAACCTCCTCCTCCCCTGACATGACGTTGAGAATCTGTGGAAAGAAACAACTCGGCAGAACCCACGGAGACAGATACTTTCTTTTCTCAAGTCACCTTCTAAAATAAAAGGTTCAGCTACGGGTTTCTCTTCTCTCCCTTCCCTGCCACCTCTTGGACGACATTCTGACGGAGATCTGAAGAGGGCGATGTTCCCCGTGCCTCCTGCCCCCCGTGTCTGACGTTAGGAGGAAGCCATCCCACATGCAAGTCAAAGGGGATTTCAAGTTTATATTCGAAGCTACAAACTTTCCCAACATTATTGCACTGGTGGGCTGGCAGGCACATTCTGTGTGAGAAATATGAGGATTTGCATTTCCCTACTTTCCTCCAGCTTCTGGAAATGTGCTTTTGAAAACACAGCTTGCACTCACGGGGAAGAAGGCCTGAAATGCAATAAAAGACTCCCCGAGACCAAGGGGAGATGGTTTTCTGCTTGCCCTCAACGCTTTTCAGACCAACTCTGCTGGAAGGGAACTACAAATGTCTAGTAATACTGCGATCTTATTTCAAGACTAGGCCGGTTCTTCCATAGAGCTGTCCTCCCACAGGGCACTCCCCTCCCCTTCAGTGACTGCTCCACCCTAGTGGCTATCAGTCATCCGAAATGTAAGCCCTGTAGCATCCCAGGGGACCGTCTATCGTAACCTGCCAACAAGAAAGCCCACGAGAACCATGATGGAGTTTGAATGAAAACCCATGTTTTCGGATTTCTATGGCAATGGGCTATGAGAAGCTTCAAAGACTGTGGAAAAATGGCATTGCAAGATAATGGAATTTTTCCCAAGAACTTTTTGAACTCTCCTCATGCTGGAATTTACTGGAGACACAGTCCTCATTTATGAATTCTCTTACCCCCGATGGCATTTCCCACTGTAGTAGTTAGCTTAAGTAAAGCCATTTTATATCAAGCAACCATTCTGCACCAGACCTAAGGTGCAGCCACACGCCTTGTAGCATTCTCAGCAAAACCAAATAGCCCCCGCGTTCTTAGAACTGGCAGCAAACTATCCTGTGCCAGGAAGTTGTGCTAACCTGCCTAACCGCAAAGTCTGCGTCTCTACCAGCTTGCTTGCACAACTCCACAGCTCAACTGTTTGAGGAAACCCTATAAAAGCCTAAGTCTGCAAGGCCACGGGGCCAGCTGACGGCCTCGTTTTAGCTGAGCCTGGCTGGTCCCTGCGCAGGTTCTTTTTCCTCTTTTATTTCCTGTCCCCTTTTAATAACCTGTTTTCCTTTTTACCAAAAACGGAGCTGTTCTTGTCCGGTTCATGTACCACACTACAAGCAGTTTCTAGAGTACTATTGCAACAAAGGCTATTTACAGACTGTTAGCAGATGTCCCCAAGGCCCATATACTATTGCGATTGAATAGAAAAGAGTCACGTCTGCTACATGGATGAGTTCTTGCCAATGATCAAGAGACTAACAGACGTGGTGACACCTTTTAAATGAGGAACGAACAAAGGAAATACATAAAAAGTGAGAGTCAAGCCCGAAACACAAGGCACCCTCTGCCATCCACCCAACTAGCCGGCAGTCAACTCTTTCCCACAGTTGTAAATAATGATGTAACTGTGTGTATGTGTGTGTGTGTGTGTGTGTCCTAGAACACAATGGGAGAAAACCTTGTGAGTCTGTGAAGTAAAATTTAAAAAATGGCTAAGAGTTTAGCTGCTGAGTGGATTCCAGCTCCCATTGGCCCCATGTGTTCCCGAGAACTGCTGCCCAAAAGGCTGTCAGGGTGGCGACCTTCCAGAAACACATCGCCAGGCCTTTTGTCCAAGGCACCTCTGGGGCTGTTCAAACTGCTCACCTTAGTTGGCCCAGGGTCACGCAGGGACTCTTGTTTAGGTAAAGCAGACTTCTGAAATCCTGGCCGGGGAAAGGAAGAAAAGTCATCTTGCTATCTGTGCCACTCTGTGTGGCATATGGTGACCATGCTTCCAAAGGTCGGGTTCAAGGTGACATTTCCTGCTATTGCTGTCTCATCTTGGCAATAGGTGTACACGACAGTCTTACTCCGGGAGCACGTTCCAATATGCAGTAGAAAGGGGGATATGGAAACACAAGTGTTTGCTTAGCTCGGTCCAAACCCCCAGGACAGGGAGGCTTGGTGAGGGGCGGGAAGAGGCAGGTGGTTAGGATACAAGAGGGTGGACATGGGCCACCTTCTCTTCTCCAGGGAGTTTGCCATCAGGCCCTCACACTGCTTCCTTGGATGTCTTGCTGTTAGCCAGAATGGCCGAATAACAATATATTTAATATTGTTAATTTTGCGGGGGATCAGGGGAGATTTCATTTTGGGATTGCATTCCAGGGTGGCAGTCCCTGCCCGGTCTCTGCTCAGCGACCACCTGAGATTCCCTCCAACCCACCATCTTTCTCTCGGATGGAGCCCTTGGTTCCATTTTCTTTTGGTTTACAATTCTCCATGCTCCTTGCTGTCGGACAGAGCACACCAGAAAACTACTCCTGATGGTCTTTGGCCTGGGTGAAGCCACATCCCTTAGATATTTATTCATATGATATTAAACATTCATTTTCAAAAATGACAAGCATCTGGAGAAAGCCTAATTCCATGGAAGCAGAAAGAGATGTGATCAATATGTTTAGATAATATCCAATAAACCACCCAGACAGCTGGTGTCATTGATCATATCCCACAGCTTCCACAAGACAGCAAAATTGGAGAAGACTTTTGCTCACATTGGAGATCAATAGGAATGCAGAGGCGGCAAGAAAAGAAGAGGCCAATAACAACAAAAAAAGAATTCCTCTTTTGTGCTTTAAAAAATTACAGCCGTGAGTTTCCAAGGGTATTGCACAAATGCTCCTAATTATTCCTTATTTGTTAGAAGAAATCAGAAATGCTGGCACCAGAAATAAAACAAACAAACAAACAAACAAACAAGCAGAAGAGGAACAGAAGCATATATATAGATAGACAGATAGATAGATATTTCCCCCTTGTTGCAATGATGAGTAGAGATTCATTCTAGCAGTCGTGCTCATCTTTCACCTCTAGCATGTGAAATGTATGTTAAAAACTCAGAAAACACGTCTAGATAAAGCAGACCACATCCATTTCCTTATGACTCAGAAAATCTAGCATAACTACAGATTCACGTGTCTCCTTCCATCGACAACACGGGGCTTTTTCTAGGACTCAACCTACATACTGTGGTCTCATATTGAGTTTATAAACAGACACTCTGGGTTTCTGAAGTCCTTGGGCTCCTCCCCCAGGGATTTCAAAGAGGCTGTATAGGAACTGTACAGGCATATTTAGAATATGTGGTGTCTTATCTAGCTTCAAAGACTACGCCTGGATGGAACAAAAAACCCCACCCGAATGGGACAAAAGACACGCCACCTTCAGTAATTGCCAGGCCATAACTTGATCAGGTGACCAGAACTTTGTCACATGACAGCCAGATTTAGAGAGCACAAGTTTAAACCTTCCTCTCCCAACTTGTCATCGCCTCCAGTGTGCAAGGCAGTGTCAACGTGTAAGCTTCCCAGTAAGTTTCCACCCCACTCTCTAGTCACAAGATGACAAACTCATCCCCAAGCCAGGCCAGTGCCTTCCTCTGCTAGTGGACAGACATAGACAGCACTGGCCAGACAAGGGCGAGCGCCCGGACCTCACTGCTCCTTTATCCGTGCCAAGTGAGTGTTCCTTTCACTTGCCGCACCCCCTGTCCGGCCCACATCTCTGAAAGACTCAAGCTGCCCAAGTTGCTCATAACAATTATTGCTGACGTTCAGAGGCATCTTAACCTTGGTGCAGGGGGTTGGGAGTTGTTAACCCACTTCCGTTTTCATCCCTGATGTTTGCCCACCCCAAATCATCATATTATCTGAGGGTGAACGCTGTGAATGAATAAAAGCATGATATAATTCTGGATCCGTATTCCGCTACATATTTTGTCATATAGTGCCAGCACTAGTTCATGTAGCTTTTGGTCTTTGGAACTCGACAAACACAAAGTAAAATTTACCCAGTTTGGGTGGGAAATGAGCATTTCCTAAAGATTTCACGGGAGACATAATGTTTTCTTTAGATTCAACCTGCAAGAGACTTGGCATGTACTGTTTTCAAAGTCAGAATTCTCAAGCATAGAAATTAAAACTACTGGTGGTTTAAAGAAATAGGTGGCTTCTATAATAAAATTATGAAACTTCCAATGTAACTGATAAGACACATTACTGATATACATTTCATTTTAAATCACCCATCACTTTTCTATGAAGGTATTGCTTAGTCTAAGAATACTTTTTGGCACAGTGAGAATCCCAGGATTCCTGAAGCTGTTTACTCACATGTAGGTATTGAAGCCAGACTGTCCAAATTACTCCAACAAGCTATATTTAAGCAAAATAAGGTGTTTTGCCAAGAGAAGGGCATTAAGCATCACAAAATCAAACAGGGTACTATCTGATTATCTGCCAATTGGGATCACCTATGTGCTTCTTTACCAGAATAACTAAGCCGTTCAGAAACAAAATCCAGCGATTTCTCTAAGGGAGGGTGCTGTTGCAGCCCAGGTCTGTGTAGCTGTTAGTACACAACTCTACATCAGGCTCATGTGTCTAGATGCCCCCTTGCAGATACAAAACACTAATGGAATGACTTAATTCTTCAACCATGATCATTTTATTGAAGCAAGATTAAAATCAAACACGAGTTGTCCTTACTCATGGCCCTTAGAATCAATGGCATTTTCAAATCAGGGTCATCCAAAGTAAAAGTCTTAAAAGGGGCCTTTCCCTATTTTATTTCTCTGCTATCTCTTATGCTCGCATAGAGCAACTTAAGTGTTGTTACTAGAAATCAATAGGAAAATTAAGGCTGACATGAAAGGGCAATGACGTCCCTTGGCAGATGTATCAAAAGTGATGGGATAATTTCCTTATTGATTGTGTCTATCAAAACCTGAATATCATCTGAACAGAATCTTAAGGGTCAGTAATATTAAAATATACTGGACCAAAAGGCCCCAACACTGAAAGTCTTAATGTCGGATAAAACAACAGGAGTTTAAAATACAATACTTGCCTGGTAATAGCGTATTCCAGAGTACTCTGCAAAATGACCCTAGAAAGACTCTCACTAAGGAACACATATTGTTCGATAAAAATATAGAGATCTAACTTCATACTACACATAGCTCCATGTTTAGACCCATCTATCTAATCAGTAAAAGGGGCATGTTTGGGAAGTGTCACCATTAAAGAAATGCCAAACTTTATTAGTCTAAGAAAACACTCACTACAGTGTGGTCATACTTTGAAAAGCATGAGCATTTTGGTGTATTCTTAACACTTTCATGACCCATTGGGCGTATAGCACCTCCCAACATTTTCTGACTCTGGGGTTTGGTGGGGAGCTGCTATCCCACTGTTTGTGCATGCTGCCATCTAGCTGGGGGTCTTTACAGCTGAATTTGAAGAAACGGATCCCCCCCCACCAACCCAATCTCTCAGGACTAATTGTATCAAATTTCATATTAAAAAAAAAAAGTTCCATTTGACTGAAAATGCTTTTCATTACTGAAAACACGAGGTTTAAAAAAAAATCCAAAATAGAAAATAATTTGGTTTTAAAAGGTTACATGAAGACACTGAAAACTTACAACACGAAACTAAGACCCTCACTGCCACCCAGATGACTCCAGCTCAGAGCCACGCTTGAGGACAGAGTAGCACTGCCCCTGTGGGCTTGACCCTGCAGCCCCTTGCAGGGGGAGAAACCCTCATCGCTCTGCACAGGTGGAAGCGGGGCTGTCTGCGCGGCTGGCCTTGTGATGAGCAGCCCAACGAGCCCACCCTCACTGTGCCCACGCGGGTCCTTTGCAAAGACTGAAGGAATCATTTCGTTTTGTTCTAATTCTGTATTCCCAATTTTGGCACTACTGACATTTTAAAGCAGACAATTCTTCATTGTGAGAATACTCATCAGGAACCTGGCCCCCCACCCACTATATGCTAGCAGTACCCCCAAGGGGTTAGTATTACCCCCACAGTCATGACAATAAAAAACAAAAACAAAGAGAGAAGGCTCCAGACATTTTTTGTCCCTGGGGCTGGGGGGAAGTCAAAATCACACTTATTTGAGAAGCAATTGGCCAATTACACATCATTAGCTCTGCCCATTTTGTTTTGCCTTTCAGAAGTCACATACATGGTTTCCGCACAAATTTATAGACGAACATTGCACAAATCAGTTGCATAAATCTATCATAAAACATACACATTACTGATAGTATTTTCAATAGAACTACAGTGTATGGGCTCCCTGAAGCACATCAATTACATTTTAAATAACTTTCATAAATAAAGTACTAATTTGAATGACATTTTAACAACTTTAGTGGGTGGTTTTGTTATAGCCCTTTTACATATTTCATAGACCACAGAGATAAAAATGCATTCCCTTTTCAAGGTGACTATTAAATAATAACAATAGCTCAAGGAGAAAAGATATTCAGCATTGCAGGTAGGGAATATTTAACACAGCTGATGTGACATTACATTCTTATCACATTTTTGGTGCCAGATAGAATCAAAATAGCAGGCCAGTTCTGTCCAGAATCAATACTCTCCTTCTTGGCTTTCTAAGTAGCAATATAGCCTGTGCTATGTCAGCGGGGCACGTTTTAATTGCTAATCATTATAAAACCTTCACTTTCAGTCACATTTAAGAACTGCCTGTGCCAATGATGCTGAATGTTTCCAAGGGGGATTTTTAAAATCTTAACATCTTACAAGTTAACCCACCAAAACATATCACCTGTGAAAATATGTCATTCAGCAGCTGAGTCAGCATGGACTGGACGGCAGCAAGCTCGGTTTTACAGTATGTTCAGTTTCTCGTATCAAAATTGGAGCCAATTTTTATCCCTACACTTTGAAATCTTTCTTATAGTCTATAGAAAGTGAGCTCTGATGTCCCCTCCTTGTAGCTTTAAGCAACCAAAGCACAAAACCAAGAGGGTCCCACGATGGTTTTATGTATGTAACCACACCCAGGTGCTTGGAATCTGTCTCTAGAGTTTTCGTGCTGTGTCAGACCAGGAATAATAAGCTTACTAAGTAGACCTTCCTGCTGCTGAGGAAGATATTGCTGCTACTTTACATTGCTTTCGCTGTACGAACCCTGTCTTGTGTGACCACGGTCCATTCATGACTTATTTGAAGAGTTGGAATGAGTAGACTAATTCTTCCCCTTTGGGGGTGAGACCTGCCTTTGATGTTAGTATGGGCATGATGAGCAAAAACCAGGAAGCTGGCTTTTTGAAAATAGCAATACGTAGTGGACAATGCATAATCAATTGTAGCTCTCCAACTTTGGTTACAGATTTTTGCCAAACTAGGACACGTGGATGCAACATAAGTAGTCACCCAGAGCGAACTGTGTGGGTCTCTGCGTGCGGCCATGGGCACAAGCTTACGCCCTTCCTCCTCCTAACTGTAGTCAAAAGAAAAGGGAATGTGGTTTGCAGTCTGTCTCCCACGACTGAACCTTACTCCATTGTGCTTTACATCATCTCTGGACAATAAATGATGAAGCAATTATGGCAATTTTAAAGTAAAGGATGCATTCACATTTGTAGACTTTTGGAGCTAAACTAATAACAACAATGCAAACAGGCCTACAGACTTCAAATCTAAAATTTGAATGTATGCACTACATTTTGAGGAGAGAAAGTGACTCTCAGTTTAGATACAAATAGAATCAACACTGTCTAAAGTCAACAGTGCTTCACATTGTCTAAGTAGACTTAACAGAAGGGGAGGGACCAATGGTTATCCCAAATTTTTAGAAGGGAAGGGAGGGAAACTATAATTAACGTAGACTTGGTTCAACAATTCACAATAATCAGTTTGGGCATTTTATATCCTTATTACTCAGTAACAGATTTTTTTAAATCTACTCCAGCCCACCCAAACCCCTAAATAGAGCAAAAAGTAAATAATAAGTAAAAAAACTCTAACGTTTTAAACCTAATAAAATACATTGATTTTTTTCCTCCAAACAAGCCAGCTTATGTTGATAATCAGTAACCGTTTCCCCGGCATTTTTTTTGTTCAACTTTAATTACTAGTTGCTCAGCCTTGGCAACTAGAGGTCCATCTTGGTTTTGTACTGTATCTTCTAGATTCCAACTGTGTAGACAACATCATTTCATTTACCAGCTGAACATCCAATAGGTGCTATAAAATATGTCACAGGATGTGTCTTAGTTATCTTCGAAGCCAACAGCAAACGTTAAGTTTCCCTTCGGTTTTTGATGTCCGTTTTTTTTTTTTTTTGGTCTTTCCAAGTGGCCCATGCAAATCCATGAAACAACTGGATGATTTTCTTTTGTCGTCACGTAGAAAACTAACAAAAGTGCCCTGCACAGTGCCTCCTCCTTCTGAAGTCCCTAAGAGGCGGGGAGACGTGATGTGTCCTCACATGGGTCTAGCTGCATCCTCAGGGCTCCCGTTTTATGCAGATACCAGAGTTGGAGAAATTCCTCTGGCATGGCATGGAAGCCAGAAAAGGGCAAGACGTTGTCGTAATAGTGGTGGCTGATGGGCTGCTCGTGTATATTCACAGAGAAGGGCCAGAAGCCATAGATGGCCACCTCTTCACAGAGCCCCAAGGCTGCACTCACCAGAAAGAGTCCTGTGGACAGGCGCTTGGCATGAATTCCCCTACCCTTCCAGAACTTGCCAATGCTACTCAGAAAGTTGGGGTTAGCAAAAAGCACTGTTTGATTGGCACCAACATCAGACAATGTATAATAGACACGGAGGGATGGCTCTGTTCCCGTCTTCATGGAAAAGGCAGGCATATAGATGTAACTGTGGTTATAGATTTTCATATTGTCCACAAATGTCTTTCTGGACCAAAGCAGGTTTTGAAACCTATGAACAAGAAGAAGCTCAATTAAACTTGGAGAAATCCACATTATTGTTCTTCTTTATTAAAAAAAATGCATTGCTATATAATTCACACATCAATAAAAAATTCAATAGCTCAGTCCTATTAAGAATGGTACAGTCATCACCATAATCAATTTTAGAACATTTTCTTCTTTCTTGCACTTATTTGTTCCCCATTTTCCCCAACCTCCCCACCCATGCCCATAGGTTATTATGAATCCAGCTACTGTCTCTATAGATTTACCTCTCCTGAATTTCATCAACAAAGAACTTATAAAACAACTGGAAAAAGAACCCAACAACAATGACGAAATGAAACAGAGAAAAACCTCAATTGAAAAGAAAGCAGAACATATTAAAAACGGAAACCGTTTTAAAATGAGTCAAAGGGGAATTCAAGTGATAGGTGGTTACATTTTGACCTAACGACCTCTGCCCTAATCCACTTTCAATTCTGTCTGACAGCTGGGCTAGTCACATCCCCGGACCGTGCTCAGAGGAGACTCCCCAGAGGCTCCATCCATGGGGGACCCTGCACATGGATGTTGAGCTTCCACTGTCATCCATAGAGCCTTTCCCAACCAGGTGGTCAGGATTTAAGCTCAGAATTTAATACCATGCCTTCTTTTGATTGGGGTTTTTATCATTTGTAATCCTTGGATCACAAAGGTGGGTGTGCTTCTTCCTTGAGGCCTTAGTTGGCTGATGCCTCACTTAGATGTCTGCTGGTTTTAAGAGAACAAGTCTGTAAGACCATTTGCTTTCTTCATCACACTTGGCTATAGCACCTGTATCTTCAGTGGTCTCTTCAGGAAGTTGAGTATCAAGTTGGGCCATGCCACAAGAACTAATTGTTCTTAGATTGGGGTTAGGATGAAGTGTGAGACCAAAATCCATTCATGGATCTACAGTTTATATATGTCTCTGGTTCACTTTAGAGGTATCATTTTATCATAGAGAACATTAGAAATCACCCCATAGGGGGCATTCGATAGTTTTTCTTCTGATAGCCCTGAGAGTGTAAATCATCCCAGAGCAAAACATATATGTAAGATACTTTGCTTGCATTTAAGTTCTCCATGAATTTGCCAATTCTGTCCAGTAGCCTGCCCCTGCCCCCAGAGTTGGTTCATTTGTATTATGGTATTGGCGTAGAGTACACTGTGAAGTGTGCAAAATCTAGAGGACAGGGAACTTAAGTTATTGAGGGAGGAAGCGCTCAGAAGACGAAAGTGAGAATGACCACACGGTCTGCAGGCTGCCATCAATGTCACTGAATCACACGTGTCAAACCCGCTGAGCCACTGAATGGTTTGCTGTGTAGAGTTTCAAGATTGCATTTTTAAAAGTTTTAATTTAAAAATCTGTAATTAGTTGTTTAGAACTATGACTAATAATTGCATTCATGTTATAAGACCAGGATGTTATGAAAAGTAAAAGAACATTCAGGTAATAAAGAGCTGTGGCAATTTAAAAAAATAACAACAAATGAACAAATGAAGAGTTAAAGAAAAACTCTAGGAAAACAGCTCCATAGCAAGCCCAGAAAGCTACCAATCAGTCTTGTAAGAGAGAGACAAAAAAAGACAATTCCTAGAAAAATGTATTTAAAAAAAAATCAACTGACAAACTAATATTTTTTGGTAGTTATATGGTTTACAGTTCTAATGGGAGAGGGATTAGTTAGAAGGACATTAAAATACCTGTGACATACTCTGTTTCACTATGAACAATATTTATGCTGACTTAATTGTCATGTATCTGGCTTGAGAAATTGGATGAATATAAGTGTGGGTGGGGGGAGGAAAATGCTGTGAAGTACATCTTGAGGATTATATCTTTATTTCCATAGAAAATCAATAGATAAAATGGAATTTTAAAAATTATAATTAAAGAATGATACTACTTTAACATGTAACCAGATAATAGTCAAAGAAAGAAATACAAGTGAATCTATTCCTTGGACTATAACCTAGAAGGGTAGGAGGTGTGAGACAGGATTGCTGTTTTCCTTTGTCATTTCAAATTTTGTACATGTATTATTATCCTGATAAAACTATGTTGCTATTCATGGGCATCGAGTTGATTCTAACTCATGGCAACTTCATGTGCACAGAGTAGAACGGTTCCACCAGGTTTTAAATGGCTAAGGGTTCAAAAGTAGATCGTTAGCCTGTCTGCTGGGGCACCTCCAGGTGATTGACTCAATTCACCTGTCTTCTGGCTAGTATTCAACTACTTAGCCATTTATGCCACCCAAGGATTCATGGATAAAATAGCCTGAATTATGAAGAATATTTATATTGTCTACAGGAAAATATCACTAACATGATAAGAAATTTTATGCACATAACAAGATAGTTTCAATATGTATAAAGGGATCTTCAAAAAGCTCACAGGAAAGCCCCATTATCTTTCAATTCCGTTTTCCCATGAACTTTTTGAGGTCCCCTCATGCAACACGAGAACTAGTAAAACTACCCAAAGAAATTCACAAGTCTAAAATCATAGTGAGAATCTTTAAAAAAATAATTCTTATTATTTTAAAATATGAATAGAAAAATTTTAGATGATACATTATATCACAGAAGAAATACTAACATAACAATTATCATCATATAGAGCATATCATATGTTCAAATATGAAATTGATATGAACATACACAATACCCCAAAATTTTAAATATATATTTCAATTATGCTTATGTTGAAATTAATCAATATTTGCAGAAAGTATCATTACCTATTAAGAACATACAAGACAACAAACAAAGAAAGAATTTACTGGGTTAAATATGAGATTTGGCAAGATCAGCTTTTAAAAATGCATACCTATTTTACCCCAAAGCAATAACATGTTAGAAAAATATATTGAAGCAAAGGTTTAGTTTTTAATAGCAACAAAGTCCATAAATACCTTGAAATAAAACAAACAAATCTAATATTTTTATAAATATGTCCCCCCATTGGACCTCCACTCAAGTACTCCATCAACACAAGAACAATTTGTTGTACTAACATGACATTCTGTGATGTTTACCTTCCCTGACATGATCACTGATCACTGAAGACAAAG